TTCTGTGGTGTCCTGTGTCCATGTAGAGATCTGTATGACTCCACACTTGAAATAAACATGAAGATACATCAACGAGGACTACATAAAAATGTGCAGAATCAGTGTATCAAAATTTCAATGAGAATAGAAATATCTTTTACGCTGTTGTCTGAAGTAACAAATTGTGAGAATAAATATGCCCCTCTGATGATTTGAGTTGCTGTTTGGTAAGACTCTTTCATTTCTAAAATTCCATGGGCAGCATTTAAGAAAGAGCCACTCCCCACCTGCCCACGAGACAGGGTTTCTCTGGTGTAGTCCTGGAACTCACTCTGTAGACCAGGCTGGCCTCTAACTCAGAGATTCACTTGCTTTTGCCTCCTGCATGCTGAGATTAAAAGTATGTGCTACCACTGCCCAGCTCAGTATTTTTCAGTCTACAAAGAATCTCATGTCTTCTCTGGTTTATAAAGTTTAATATCATGTCAATTTTATGAGGTATCTGTTGTGCTAATTGAATTAATGACTTAAAATGTATATAGAGAGAGCCCGAAGAGATGCCTCAGTGGTTCAGAGCACTTGTTGCTGTTCCAGAGTCTCTGATTCCAGCACTCACAACCATCCGTAACTCCAGTTCAGAGAGTTATATTCTTTTCAGAATCCGATGGGCAGCAGGCACACAGGTGGTGCACATTACTACATGTAGTATATTAATCACTGTTCTGCTGCTGTGAAGAGACACCACAACCAAGGCAACTCTTATAGAAAAAGCATTTAATTGGGGGATTGCTTAAAGTTTCAGACGGTTAGTCTATTATCATGTGGCTGGAGCCTAGCTGCATCCTGATCCACATACCTAGCAAGGAAGAAAGAGAGACAGAGGGAAGGAGACAGACAGAGACACACAGACACTGTACCTGGTGTGAGCTTTTGAAACCTCAAACACACCCCCAGTGACACACCTCTTTCAACAAGGCCACACATCCTAATCTTTTTCCAGTAGAGCAACTCCCTGATGACTAAGCATTCAAATACTATAGGAGCCATTCTCATTCAAACCATCACATTCAGGGAAGGCATTCATATATAAAATTTATTTATTGTGTATACAGTCTTCTGCCTGGGCATATATTTGGATGCCAGAAGAGGGCACAAGATCTCCTTATAGATGGTTGTGAGCATGTGGATGCTGGGAATTGAACTCAGGACCTCTGGAAGAGCAGCCAGTGCTCTTAACCTCTGAGCCATCTCTCCAGCCCTCATAAAATATATTTTTAAAGTGTTGTATATAGATAAAAATATCACAGTGCCGGCTGGAGAGATGGCTCAGAGGTTAAGAGAACTGACTGCTCTTCCAGAGGTCCTGAGTTCAATTCCCAGCAACCACATGGTGGCTCACAACCATCTGTAATGAGATCTGGTGCCCTCTTCTGGCCTGCAGTCATACATGCTGTATACATAATAAATAAATAAATCTTTAAAAAAAAAATATCACAGTGCTTCATAAATACATCTTTCTTTCTTCTTTTTTTTTTTTTTTTAAAGATTTATTTATTACATATGCAGTGTTTTGCCTGCATGCCAGAACAGGGTGTCAGATCTCATTACAGATGGTTGTGAGCCACCATGTGGTTGCTGGGAATTGAACTCAGGACCTCTTCGAGAACAGCCAGTGCTCTTATCCTCTGAGTCATCTCTCCAGCCCCATAAATACATATTTCTTACCCATTAAAAATTAGTTTAACCAGGCATGGCGGCACACACTTTTAATACTTTTAATCCCAGCATTCAGGAGGCAGAGGCAGGTGGATCTCTGTTCGAAGCCAGCCTGGTCTACTTAGTGAGTTCCAGGACACTAGTACAGCCAGATGTACACAGTGAGACCCTGCCTCAAAAAGAAAGAAAAGATAAAAAAAAAAAAAAGGTAAGAATTTAGTAATTGATATCAGTCCTGTAACATATCCTTTTAATTTATACTGATGGCATTTCTCCCAAATGTAAATTCTAATAATTGATGCTAACTCCTTTTCTCTGTTCAAAGATGTGCAGGGCTGTGTTTGTCAGCACTTACTTCTTGGTAATCTTTAAGGACACCACCAACAGCCCCAGGGTGGTCACAGGTGAGTATAAAGGCTACCAAGTGTACTAGCAACTTTGTCTTCCTGTGCTTGATGGTTCATGGTCTGATAAACGTTACCATCCCAGTGTATGAAACAGGCAAAGGCAGTAACAATAATATCACAAAGTCAACAGACTTAGGACACTGTTCTGTGGAGCAGCAAAGTGCCTCACCATGCAGGGATGCCATCAACCCCTGATGTCTTGATTGGGAGTCATGCTCTGGGCCACGGTTTTCCTGTCCCTCCTGGTACCAGCAGCAGGTTCCACACATGTATGAGAACCATGATTCCACCATTCATCCAGAATCTAAGCTACAGAAACTTTCCTGCTTCGTGTTAACACCTTTGGGACCGGTAATACTTTTCTCTCATCATTCATGCCTGTGACTCTGTTACATTATCTATGAGTGTTTTGCCAACATGTTTGTATGTACACAATGTTCTGGCCTGGTGGCCCAGGAGTCAGAGGTGTCAGATCCCTTGGAACTTCAAATTTGTAGTTACAGGTTGTAAGCTACCAAGTAAGTGCTGGGACTCGAACTCCAGTCCTCTGGAAAAACAGTGCTTTTAACCAATGAGTCATCTCTCCACATTCTGAAACCTCATTCTCATGATGGAGGGAATCTGCATTATCATCCAGAAAAGGTTCTGTAGCTAGGTCAGGGCATGGTCAGGGCAAATCTCTCTCACCTGCCAGTCCCACAGCCGCTCACACCCAACCAAGTAAACACAGAGACTTATATTGCTAACAAACTGTATGGCTGTACCAGGCTTCTTGCTAACTGTTCTTACATCTTAAATGAACCCATTTGTATAAATCTATACCTTGCCACGTGGCTCGTGGCTTACCGGCATCTTCACATGCTGTTTGTCATCGTGGCGGCTGGCAGTGTCTCTGACACAGCCTTCCACTTCCCAGCTTTATTCTCCTCCTTGTCCTGCCTATACTTCCTCCTGCCTGACTACTGGCCAATCAGTGTTTTATTTACTAACCAATCAGAGCAACATATTTGCCATACAGAACATCCCACAGCAAGGTTCCCCAGCTGCCAGAGTCCTTTCTTCTCTTCAGCTGACTCCTGAGTATCCTGCTCGATTTGACTGTAGAATAACACTCCACAACTCTTTTAATTACATGGACTTTCATAAAGAACATGTGATTACTTACTCATCTCAGAACCTATAAAGAATCATGACATTGGGGCTGGAGAGATGGCTTAGAGGTTAAGAGCACTGCTTGCTCTTCCAAAGGTCCTGAGTTCAATTCCCAGCAACCACATGGTGGCTTACAACCATCAGTAATGAGATCTGGTGCCCTCTTCTGGCCTGCAGGGATACGTGCAGACAGAACACTGTGTACATAATAAATAAATAAATCTTAAAAAAAAAAAGAATCATGACATTAAAGAGAAATATTAACACACACACACACACACTATTGTTAAGGGTTAAGAATAAGTCTAATTATTATGGTAAATCTATTAATAATATCACAAATTTCACATTACTAATGTTAAGAGGTCAGGCTAGGGTATAAGGAGATAATCCTCATTATGAAGTCTCAATACCATGACTTCTACATTAAAATTTTGGGAGGAATATTGACTCAGAAACACTTCTCTGTCTGGCCATGTTCTTCTACACCTTTGCCATTTTCATTCACAGGGCTGGGACCACAAGATCCAAGCAATTAATGGGATGGGCAAAAGAGAGAAGTCTCCGTCACTGGAGGATTGCTCTTACTTATCTGACCACAATCTAGCTATACTAAATAAAACCTAAGTTAGATGTACTGTGTGTTCAGCCCATGGGTCTCTGTGTTTCTAAGAAAGTAAATCCCAGGCATGGCTGATCTGTTTTCCTCATCTCCCACATGGCACTGTTACTGCACACCTGAACAACGGCACCTGTGACCACATGGCAAGTTTGATGCAGCTCAAATCCCAGCACGGCTAGGGAGAGGGGCTCTTTACACCACTAGATGGAGACAAACCCCACAAATAGCAAGAGCATGAGAAATGTTAAAGTCATAACCTGTGGGTGTGACACATGTACATGTACAGCTAGGAAATCCCAAAGAGGATGCAGGAAAATCATTTTTCAGTACTCAAGAAAGTTGGAGAAGTATTTACTCCAACTGAAAAGCACAGTGACTCATATAGAAAAATTAAGACACAATAGACATTAGCCAAACAAGTGTGTTGCAAAGAAGAAAACCTAATGATCATGTAAGTGGATTTGTCCTGAATTTGAGTGGAGTACAATTAGTTTTCTTTGGAGATATGGCCCCCAAAAGGTTATTCATGATCTAGCAGACTGATTTTACACCCATGTACATACAGTTGGCACTAAGTGGACTCGAGCACTAAAAAAAAAAAAAAGAGCACATGAAGATATGAAGAAATAGTATGGCGGTGGGGAAAGTTGGGGAGAAGTTGGAGGGCTTGCAGGGGTGAGTATATCCAAATGCATGATGCACATACATGAAATTCTAAATCAATAAACTCAACTCTAATATACTAAGATATTTATTTAAATACAAAGGAAAAGCCTAATCTCTGTGTTCAAGTGGTTAACCAGAGTTAGATACAAAGAAAAAAGAGTGCCTGGAGGTTTGTAAGAAAAACCTCCATAACTGTGAATTAAGATTCTAATTTCACTGTCAAGTAATTTCTGTTAAATTCATCATAACACCTCCAACCTGAAATACAAACTTTGACAAGGTTATGTGAAATCATCTAAGGCTTATGTGCTATGGAAAGATTTTGATTGCGGGCTCTCCAATGCTTTAGTAAGCCTTGCAAATTATCCTGTACTCCTCACTCATTAAACTAGGGTGTGAGAGGTTCAGGCTGGAGGCTAGATCATATTTACTCACTGAATTTCAATGTAATTTCAATGTAATTAAACACAGATGTTTTATTTATTTAAAAAATCACCTTACACAGAGTTGCAAAATATTACAAAATTGCATGTGGTTTTACAAAAAAAAATGTAGATTACAATAGGAGGAATGTTACTTTACTAAGGATGGAAACTTACAGTTATTATTCACCATTTCCAAAGAAGGCAAACGTGTGAGTTTCATGGCGTACACTGTTCAACACAACTACACATTCTCTAATATTCGATTTTATTTTCCTCTGATATCTCTATTTTTCCACATACATTTCACTGAGGACATCCAGATAGAAATCACTAATTCCATGGATTTGCCCATTTTTTTTCAGGGATCTGTAAAATGTTTTTGAGATGCCCCTGCCTCTGCCTGCTGAATGCCAGGATAGCCCTTTTCTCTTCCTGTTGCCCAGCATACTTACCTCATATGTAAGTGTATTCCTCCTTCTCCTGCAAATAAAGCTCATCTCCATTTGTGCTATAGTGATGAAGTGTGCTTAGGCTACTAATTCTTCATGGAGCTAAAACACACAGTAGATTTCTGGGAGCAGCTGGCAGCAAGTTCCAATGGCGGCACCTATGACCTCAGAATCCTGCCCACACACAAAGAGAACTGAACTCCGGGTAAACACCATGTGTCAGAAACAAAAGGGGAGAATAACGCCTGGGACCAAAGGGATTCCAAGACAGGACTCTGCTCGGGTGGCGAAGGCTGCTTTAAACAGTGAACCAGTAACCAACAGTCAGGGGAAAGTGGTGAAAAAGGAGTAGTCTTCCCAGGCACACAATGACAGAATTCTCCTTGGACCGGAACACTGTCATGAACCAGGGTAGTTACCAAAAGGTCACCAAGCAGAGGTGCCTTGGTCTGTGCAGCACCTGCACGAAGAAGAGTTTTGACCCCAGGATCCTCTGAATTTGCCCTCAGGAGTCTTGTCCATTTGATCTGTGCCCACAGATGGTTAGTGACCAGTCCCTAACTATCTAACTTCCCTGACGCCTGTCTCAGGTTCATCAGCACTGATGCAGCAACAACTGATACACATTATCATAAAACCATCCGTAAGCAAGAGAGCACGGACGTATCCAAGTTTAAACAAACCACTGTGTTTACATTTCAGCAAATCCCAACAGTAGTACTACCAAAATGTCAGTAAGAATACTATTATATTTACTCAAACAGAACTATCTTCCTCCACTCAAATACAGGACAAATTCACTTACGCACTTGATTTTCTTCTTTGTAACATGCTTGTCTGTCTAATGTCGATTGTGTCTTAGCGTTTCTATGTGAATCACTGTGCTTTTCAGTTGGAGTAAATACTTCTCCAACTTTCTTGAGTACTGAAAAATGGTGTTCCTGCATACTTTTTGGGATTTCCTAGCTGTGCATATGCATGTACATGTGTCACATTCACAGGTTATGTCTTTAACGTTTCTCATGCTCTTGCTAGGAGTTTTCTGGGTTTTCCCTTCAGGATGAGTTTTCAGATGTAGCTATAATCTTAACACCAGGTAAAAACTTTGAAAAATTCAGTGCAGTTCTTGGGCTCTCTAGCATGGAATTACAAGATATGAAATTCCTAATGTACAAGACATGAGGATTTCACAAAAGTAGTTTCTTTCTGGTATTAATTTTCTGATTACAATTTATCCTCATGAATTTTTTGAGGTTGAACAAGTAAAATGTTCTTAGGAATGATTTTTAAATATTGCTACAGCTGAAGAATTTTTCTTCAGTATACACTCTTGGGATTTCTATGATTTAATCATTCATTAAAAGCTCTCACAAGTTTCTTATGTTCGTGTTTTTCTCCAGTATGGATCCTGTTGTGCTTTGTAAGAAGAGATCGCTGGGTAAAGGATCTGTCACATTCATTACATTTGTACGGTTTCTCTCCAGTGTGGATTCTGGAATGGGTTTTAAGGTTTGACAGCCAATAAAAGGACTTGCCACATACTTCACATTTGTAGGGCTTCACCCCAGCATGAATTTTCTGATGAGCCTTAAGACTCGAGCAGTGGGTAAAGGACTTGTCACATTCTCCACATTTGTAGGGTTTCTCTCCAGTGTGGATTCTGGAATGTCTTTTAAGGTTCGACAACCAATGAAAGAACTTACCACATTCGTTGCACTTGTATGGTTTCTCTCCAGTGTGGACTCTGTAATGTTCCTTAAGTCTTGACAACAAATAAAAGGCTTTACCACAGTCTTTGCATGAGTAAGGTTTCTCCCCAGTGTGAATTTTCTGATGTGTACTAAGAGCTGTGCAGTGGGTAAAGGACTTGTCACATTCCTTACATTTGTAAGGTTTCTCTCCAGTATGGATCCTGTAATGGTTTTTAAGTTTTGACAACTGAGAAAAGCACTTACCACATTCCTCACATTTGTAGGGTTTCTCCCCAGTGTGGGTTCTACAATGGCTTTTAAGGTGTGAGAACACATAAAAACACTTGCTGCACTCTTCACATTTGTAGGGTTTTTCATCAGCATGAATTTTCTGATGCCTTTTAAGAGCTGTGCAGCGGGTAAAGCATTTGTCACACTCTACACATTTGCGAGATTTCTCCCCAGTATGGGTTCTGTAATGGCTTTTAAGTCTTGACAACTGAGAAAATGATTTGTCACACTCCGCACATTTGTACGGCGTCTCTCCAGTGTGAATCCTGTAGTGGCTTTTAAGGCCCGACAACCAGTGAAAGAACTTACCACATTCTTTGCACTTGTAAGGCTTCTCTCTCGTGTGGACTCTGTAATGTTCCTTAAGTGTTGACAACAGATAAAAGGCTTTACCACAGTCTTTGCATTTGTGGGGCTTCTCCCCAGTATGAATTTTCTGATGTGTACTAAGACCCGTGCAGTGGGTAAAGGCTTTGCCACATTCCTTACATTTGTAAGGTTTCTCTCCAGTGTGGATCCTGTAATGGCTTTTAAGTCTCGATAATCGAGAAAAGCACTTACCACATTCCTCACATTTATAAGGTTTCTCTCCAGTGTGGATTCTGTAATGGCTTTTAAGTCTAGATAACCGAGAAAAGCCCTTATCACATTCATTACATTTGTAAGGTTTCTCTCCAGTGTGGATTCTGCAATGGGTTTTAAGGTGAGACAACCACTTAAAGGACTTACCGCATTCTTTACATTTCCATGGCTTCTCTCCAGTATGAAGTCTCTGATGGGTACTGAGGTTTGAGCAGCTCCTGAAGCATTTCCCCCAGTTGTGTGCTTTCTCTCCACTATGAATTCTTTGCTGCACAAGTCTGTGTGCAGAGCCCAAAAGTTTATCACTCTCTGTATGCTTGTGCTCTATTTTCAGAGTGTGGATACTCTGATTTAGACTAATACTGGAACCTAAGCTTAAACATTTGCCACACTCTTTATATTTGAAAAGGTCTTCTCCAGTGTGCACACTTTTATGTCTGTTTAGGTTGGATGAGTCAGTAGAGGCATCTCTGTGGTTACTGCATGTGTAGCTGATGCAGTTTTCTACAGTATCACTTGTGTTATAAGGTGTACACTGGGAGGATTCATGAATCAGTTTGCCAAGCTGACTGTATTTGTAAGACTTCTCTTCGATATTCACAAGCTGATGGACAATGTAGTTAGAGTCTTGATCCAAGACCTTCTCGAATTTACCACACATGCAATGGTTCTCTGGGAAATGAGCACAATTAGGGATAATGAGGATTGACTCATGAGTTAACAGATTCAATAGCTGATGTCACCTTAAGTTCTCTAAGACAAGTAATAATTATTTAGAATAGGGCTCTTAGTGGAGGGCTTTTTACTTTCACTATCATTATGAGTGTTCAGAAGCTTCATTTTGATCTCCATCACACTGTGGGGACTGATAACAGAACTCTCATTCCTCTCTAAACTGCATTACTTGCAGAACAAGGGACAAACAGATGACGAAAAAGTAAACAACTTTGGGAAAAGAGCTCTCTGAAGGATTATGTTTAAAATATTTTTCTCTTTTTAAATCTCGCCATCCACCCCCGAGAAACAGCTGAAGTATAGTTTAATGCAATACTAAAATGAAAATATTCAACTTACTAAGTGTATTGTAATGCATATTTCTGCTACACACATTTAACTTTCTTTTAACTTTAAATATTTCATTAAAAACTTGGTAAGAGGCTTGGAGAGATGGGTCAGTAATTAAGAGCATTTGTCATTTTTTCAGATGACTTAGGAAAATTCCATAAATTTTTTTTAACCAGAATTTCCTATAGCTTCTAGACAGCTGCAGAGAATTTATACACCTATAAACCAAATAAATACAAAAGCAGGAATTTTGCTAGAAAACTGTTCTTACCCACAGAGACCAGGTTGCTGTAATTCTCCAACATCACATCAATGTACAAAGCCCTCTGAGCAGAGTCCAGGCATTCCCACTCCTCCTGGGAGAAGTCCAAAGCCACGTCCCCAAATGTTAGCAGACCCTATAATGGAAATTTAAGAGTTTTATCATGTGCTACTGGGCAGAATGCTTTCCTAGATAAAAGACGTATAAGGACCTAGGGATATTTTTGTGATGTAGGTGAGGCAGGAAAATTATTCTTTTTTTTTTTTTTTAGATTTATTTATTATGTATACAGTGTTCTGCCTGCATATATACCTGCATGCCAGCAGAGGGCACTAGATCTCATTACAGATGGTTGTGAGCCACCATGTGGTTGCCGGGAATTGAACTCAGGATCTCTGGAAAAGCAGCCAGTGCTCTTAACCTCTGAGCCATCTTTCCAGCATCCGGAAAATTATTCTTTAAGATGTTTTTTAGAGGGGATGGAGACATAGCTTAGCAGTCAAAAATAATGCTTGTTCTTCCAGATGTCCTGTGTTTGGTTCCCAGGACCTAGATGACATCTCATAATCACCTGTAGCTCTAGTTCCACATGATCCACTGCCTTCTTCTGGCCTCTAAGGGCACCGGGCATGCAAGTAGTACACAGACATACATTTAGGCTAAAACACCCATACATCTAAAAATAAAATTTAATATATATATATATATATATATATATATATATATATATATATATATTGTTTTTTTGAGACAGTGTTTCTCTGTGTAGTTTTGGTGCCTGTCCTGGATCTCACTCTGTAGACCAGGCTGGCCTCCAACTCACAGATATCCACCTGGCTCTGCCTCCCGAGTGCTGGGATTAAAGGCGTGAGCCACCACCGCCCGGCTAATTGTATATTCTAACTCCGTGTGCTGTATAGCAGTTTCCTGAGAGTTTGAAACATTCTGCCCTGCAGAAAAACTCATTAAAACAGGAAGTAAACAACTCACGAATGCCACTCAAATTGACCACGTTTCTTAGGTCCCTCCCTCCCCAAGAGTATATGAACAGTAAAGACCGCTCGCTGAAAGCCATTCTCTGACTTTGTAAGCCAAGCTGCAAAGAAGGCTCTCGGATGAGCACAGGCACGGGCCCTCGCAAGAAGCAGAGACCAGCCTAACAGCCCCAGCTGAGCTGCTTAGAAAAGGCTCAGACCATATGAGCCACCAGGAAAGGACACCCTCCAACCTGTTACTCTGCCGGGCAGCAATGCAATGGGCTCCAGGTTTCCAGGATTTGTGAGATGTCAGCCATGCTGAGGGATAGGCTTTGGTGATGCAACTGTCTGAATCATTTCTACTCCTGTAAGTAACCTCAATAAAATTCATTGGTTCACCAAGTTGGTGGTATCCATGTATCATGGGCTCCTTTTCTGGTGTGTAGTCGTGTATGTGTGCATGTCCATTTCCCCAGTCTGTCACACAACACTGAAAACAGGATGACACAATAGTCTCACAAATGATATATTTTCAGGGAATATAAGATAAAAATTTAAGATTTAGAAATAGAAATCTACCATTAATGAAATAGGGGTTTCTGTCACATGGGATCACAGTGTCACATCTCAGATGGAAAGGTTGTGATGAGCAAAATGGTGTCTCTAAATGCTACAACTGTTGATCGTGCTATAATATCAACACTAAATCAATCTTGTCTGCAGCTGGGCCTCACCTGACTCTATTTTAACACCCTTAGCTGGGATGCTATGGTTCCGGTTCAGTGCTGCACCCTTTGTATAACAAAGAGGAAGAACAAGGAAGGCAGAAGTCACGGGTGAATTTGAAGTTAGAGTTTTGATTTTTTTTACACAGTGAAGAGTAACAACAGTCAATACTGACAATATTCCCAGCGTTAACACATGAAGTTGTACAGTCTGTGAGAATATTTTTACCTGGATATATTGGCAATCATGAAGTAAATAGAAAAAAAAAACAGCATTAGCCACAGTTGATATCATAAATAATTTTTTTCTAAATGTATATACAATATACATTTATATATACAATATACAATACAGACAAATTATAATTTCAGAAGTTTAAAGGTTTCTGTGAAATGGAAGGGATGAATTAAATCAAGTGAAAATATACTAACTCTTCATTTCAATTATGTTATTGCTCATAAAAGAGGCTCAAAAGAAATGTCAAATTTTGGTTTATATAATGTATTTGAGCTGTACTGTCAGTTATACAGACAAGTACTACTTATGTTCTTCCTTCATTTTTCGGAAAATACAAGATACAACGTTATATATTGGTTTTGCCATGAATGTAAAATAGAAATTTAAACCTGGGGGCTGGAGAGATGGCTTATTGGTTAAGAACACTTGCTGTTCTTGCAGAGGAAACTGGTTCAGTTCTCAGCACACAGCCTGACTCTAGTTCCTAGTGATCTGGAGATCTCTTCTTGCCTCTGTGGGTACCAGGTACATATACATACAGGCAACCACTCATGTACATAAAACAAAATAAAAACTTAAATAAGTAAAACATTTTCCAAGAAAAAAAAAAAAAGTAAAACAGGGCTGGACGGGGTGGTGGCAGGTAGATTTCTGTGAGTTCGAGGCCAGCCTAGTCTACAGAGTGAATTCCAGGACAGCCAGGGCTATATGGTGAAAACACAGCCCGAACCTCCCTCCAAATAAAAAAAAAAGAAGTGAATGTGCCCATTACAGCCTCTTCTCATAATCTCTACCTATGAGAAACAGTAGCTCAGCAAACGAGAAAAAGAAGGTGATAGGAGAGCCTTCCTCCTCCAAAGGGAAAGATCAGAGCAAAGCAATTAGGAGTAATCATCTCTGCATGAAATGTGATGGCTTATGTACATTACTCAACACTCTCAAAAAATTCTTACTGCTATATTCCACATGATGTTACATAAAGACTCACAAGAGGTCACTGTCTGAAAAAAACAAAAGATAAAGAAAAAAGACTCCTTTCCCTAGTTTGGGAAGTTATCGCTGAGCGTCGGAATCAAGAGAATGATGTGAGCAATTCCGAACTTTCCTGAGACGAACAGATGTCAGGTGTCAACAAACACTGGCACATCATCACTATGATATCAAATGCCAAAGAGAGGAAGAGTAGACGACAATGTGCATCTCCTTACAGAAACATCAATTTCATGGATGATCGAGGCACACATGCCTGCCATCTTCAGCACTCTTGAGAGTGCATTAGGATCCAATATGGATCCAAATAGCAAATCTTTGAATTCTTTTCCAAAAAATTACTAGCGATTCTAGCAAGGAGCTCAACACCTTGAATGTGCACTTTCATAAGTCTAGTTCAAGGAAACCTGATACCTCCCTCAAATTGAACCTAAATGGCACACGAGGCCTTAATAACTAATATATAAGTACACAAACCCACCCTTGTAGCAACTGAACAACAACACATTTGTTTGAACACCTGTCACAATGGAAGCACAGGTCTTGTTTTCACTGTGAATATTTGCCCTCACACAAAGAGTCTGGAGAGGACTGAATGGAGAAAAGGCCGTGGTACACAGCAGACATGTATTTAAAGAGTTCATCTTGACTATCGGAAGAAAAAGGAATTCATGGGAGACAAACACTTCAGATGACACTCTCAGAAGCAGAGAATGAAAGGCTTGCAATGTGTCTTAGTTAGGGTTTCTATTGCTGTGAACAGAAACCATAAGCAAGGCAACTCTTGTAAAGGAAAACATTTCATTGGGGCTGGCTTACAGTTTCAGAGGTTTAGTCCATTTTTGTAATGGCAGGAAACACAGCGACATGCAGGCAGACATGGTGACGGGGAGAAGGAGCTGAGAGCTCTACATCTTGATCCACAGGCAGCAG